CCCTTCCACATGGCCTGGTAGATGCTCATCTTCTCCTGGCGGCCGGGCTCGGCCTTGCTGGGCACCAGGACGCCCGCGATGCAGCTGGTGCCCTCTAGGTATGTTTTAACCTCTTGTTTTTTCTCAATTTGTGCTACTGTACTCTTTCCTTGCTGTAGTTCTATCAATGTCTCCTTTGTTATAATATTTGATTTATAGAGCTCCCCTGCTCTTATTTGTGTTCGGATACCTCTGAACCACAGTTCCTTTGTCTGAGTTTCCTTTTCTTCAATTATTTGTAGAATAATATGAACTACTCTTTCTAGCGCTCGTGTTGTTTTTGCTTTGTATATTCTAACCAGTTCCATCTTTTTGTCCTCTGTTACATATTCTGAGTTTAGCAGCTGCCATAGAGACGGCCTCTGGCCTTTGTACCTTCCCATCTTTATATCTACCTTCTCTGCCTCAAAGGCTCTTTTGGTTGCCTCATCCACGTATGTAGCATCCTTCGGTTCTCTGATCATTGGAAATAGAGTCCAGCCAGGCTCCTCCCTCTGGCATCTATTCTGAAGCTCTTGATAAGTGACTTTCTCCTGTGTGTTGGGATCCACAAACCTTTTCTTCATGTGCTTCTGATCTGCAATGAGTACATATATGTCCTCATGTAGACATCCACGTCTGTAGGCTGTTTCCAGTGGCAGCCGATGGTGGTGCAGGGGATCCACGATGCCCCCTGTGGCTACCTGCACCTCAAGGAGCCTCAGGGCATCTTCTCTCTGGACTAACTTCTTTTTCATGGCCTGGAACAGTGGGATCATTTCCCCTGTGGCTGGGTCAGTATAGCCCTTTGCAGCTCTCTCTGCAGCCAAAAGCCTTTCCTGCAGCTCTTTGTTTACCAAGCCAGCCTCTATAGCTTCCTTCACAGATAGTTTCTGGTGGGTATGGGGGTCAAGCATGAACCCAGTAGCTGCCTGAGCCTCCAACAGCTGGGCTGCAAAACCTGCAGGGATGAGCTTTTTCCGGCTGGCTTCCTCAATGCTCAGGACCTCTCCAGTGGAGGGTGCAGTCACCCCAGCAATGCAGCCAGTGCCCTCCAGGTAGATGTTCACATGCTCCAGCTGACGGAGGTCCTGGCACCCAGTCTCCCCACTATAAATTGAATCCAGGGTCTTCTTGTTGATGACCCCAGAATTGAACAGTTCTGCAACTGTCACATCCCCCTGGATGGCTGACACCTTGATGACTTGGGTTTGCTTTTCTGTTTCTTCAATAGTGGTGGTTATGACTGCCAAAAGTTTGTCCAGGTCCATGTTCTGAGTTTTGTACTCCCACACTAACTCCTTCTTCTTTTTCTCTGTGAAGTACTGAGAGCACAAGACATCCCAGACAGACACTGTCTGGCCTTCAAACCTCCCCACATGCATTGATATAGTTCTGGATTGCAGTGTGCGCCTTGTGGCCTCATCAATGTATGTGTAGGTCTGTCCTTTCTTTACAATTTGTAACATGTATAGGCCTGTCTCTGGGTCTTCCACACAGCGCTCTAGCAGCTGCAGGTAGGTGAGATTCTCATGTGTGTTGGGGTCAAAGAAGCCTTTAGTGTCATCACTGGGGTCTTCCAGGATACGGTTCATCTCCTCATCAAAATAGCCACGCTGGTAGGCCACGTCTACTGGCACACGGTGGCTGTGCACAGGGTCAATGATGCCACCAGTGGCGATCTGGGCCTCCAGCAGGCGGATGCCGTGGTCGTGCACGATGAGGTCCCTCTGCATGGCCTGGAAGAGCGAGATCTGCTCCCCGTTGTATGGATCAGTGTAGCCGGTGACAGCACGCTCAGCTGACAGCAACTTCACGTAAGTTTCCCTGCTGAACATCCCAGCTGCGAATGCCTCCTCCACAGTCAACTTCCGGTTTTCCACTGGGTCAATGATGAAGCCGGTGGCTGCCTGTGCTTCCAGGAGCACCAGGGCTGTGCCAGGCCGCAGGATATTCCTTGTCAAGGCCTCAGAGATGCTCATCTTCTCATTGGTACCCTGGATAAGGACGCCAGCAATGAAGTTGCCTCCTTCCAGGGATTTCCTTACACTGTCCATTTCTGTTACCTCTTCCACTGTCCTTTTCCCTTGAGTCAACTCATCCAGTGTCTGCTTGTTAATCAGCTGAGACCTGAATAGGTCACTGGCAGACACCTGTTTCCGGAGCCCTCTGAAGGTGGCCTTTGGTGCTTGGCTCTCTGCAGCCTCCACCAGGGCAGTGATTGCAGTGACTACCTGCCGCAGGGCTTCTGCTCGCCCAGTCTGACAGAGCGCCACCAGATCCCGACGCTTGTCTGCACTGATGTACTCAGAGTGCAGCAGGTCCCAGAGTGACACACTGCGCCCCTGGAACCTCCCCATGCCGATGGGCACTTTCATGGCCCTCAGCGCCACAGCAGTGTGGTCATCTACCTCAAGCACAGTGTCCTGGGCCAATGGCAGCAGCCACAGGCCAGTGTTACTGTCCAGCACACATCGCTCCTTGAGCTGCTGGTAAGTCACTTTTTCCCTGGCATTGGGGTCAAAGAAGAACTTATTGTTCTCTTTGGTGGTTGTCAGTGTCTGGCTGGTCTGTTCATCCAGGACTCTAAGCCTGCAGGCCCCTGCCTGGGGCAGGTGCACCCCATAAACAGGCTCCATTGCCCCTCCTGTGGCCAGCTGCACCTGAAGAAGGGGGAAGCCCTCTATCTGGGGCACAAGCCCTTTCTCCATGGCCTGCCACAGCGATAGGGAGCCCCCTGTGTAAGGATCAGCATACCCGACCACAGCCCTCTCAGCCTGTTTGAGTTGCTCGCTCAGTGCCTTGTCCACCAGGCCAGCCTTGACTGCCTCTTCCACTGACAGCCTCTGGCTGGTCAGTGGGTCAACAAGGAAGCCAGATGCAACCTGGGCCTCTAGGAGCCTCTGGCCCAGGCCCATGGGCAGTAGACCATCCTTCATAGCCTGGGCAATGCTCACTTTGGTCCCAGAGGGTTGTAGCAGCACACCGGCCACACAGCCTGTCCCCCAGAGGCATGCCTTTATAGCAGGCATCTCAGCAACCTCGGCTGGTGACTGTGTACCCTGAGCCAGTGCCACCAGTGTCTCCTGGGTGATGATGCCTGCATCCTGCAGCCAGACAGCAGGGATCTCTCCCCTTGGCCCTGGAACTGTGACACGGGTCCAGGCCAGGAGCTCTGCCTCTCGTACTTGGCTGCACACAGTGGCTTGCAGTTGTGACACAGAGATCCTCCCGACCCACACATCCTCCAAGAGGCCCCTGCGCTGCTCCTCAGTGAAGTGGCAGGAGTTGAGCAGGTCCCAGAGAGATGAGCCATCCTCTGTCCCTGGTGTAGCCTGGAGGGTCTGCTGGATCTGAGTGTCAGTGGATGCAGCAGGAGGACTTTCTTCCAGGGGTAAGAGGTAAAGACCAGAGGCCTTGTCCTGGGGGCACTGCTCCAGAAGCTGGGTATAGCTGGTGTGTCCCTGACCATCCGGCATGGGGAAAGTCTTGGGAGAGCTAGACAAGACAGCCTCCATCTCCTGGTCAATGCAACCACGTTGAATGGCCACAGGCATAGGGAGGTGGTAGTGGCCCGTGGGATCAATGACTCCTCCTGTGGATACCTGGGCTTCTAGGAGGCGGGTGGCCTGCTCCACAGGGATAAGGCCCTTCTTCATGGCCTGGAATAAGGATACTCTCTTCCTAGAGAAGGGGTCTCTGAAGCCAGTGACAGACTCCTCGGCCTGCTTCAGCCTGCTGTATGTCTCTGGCCCTACCACACCTCTGCGCACAGCCTCATCCACCGACAGTGTCTCCAGATTGCAGGGATCTATGATGGCTCCAGTGGCTGCTTGAGCCTCCAGCAGGGCCAGCGCCACACCTGGCATTAGCAGCTTCCGTTTCATGGCCTGGTAGAGGCTGAGCCTCTGTTTGGAGGGCTGCAACAGCACGCCACCCACAGCACCTGAGCCCTGAAGGTACCTGTGGACTCTGTCCCTGTGGAAGAGGGTGTCTGGGCTGATCACTCCCTCCAGCACCTGGTCCAACAGCTCCTGGTCAATGATGTTAGCCTCTAGGAGTTGGTAGGCAGTGACTTGGCCACGCAGTGCAGGTAGTGTGATGTTGGCCCACCTCTTCATCTCTCTCTCCAGCAGCTGTGTGACATGCTTGAGTGTAATCTTACGCTGCCGATAGCGCTGCAGCAGCTGCCTCCTCCAGTCTTCACTGAAGTACTCTGAGTTGATCAGTTTCCAAGCGGAAATCCTCTGTCCTTGGAACCGTCCATACCTTACAGACAGCAGCAACTTCTGGAAGGTCTCTCTGGTGGAGCCATCGACCAGCTGGGGCTGCGTGCTGTTGAGTGGCAAGAGATACAGGCCTGTCTGGGGATCACGCACACAGCGCTCCAACAGCTGTAGGTAGGTGAGGTTTTCATGTGTGTTGGGGTCAAAGAAACCCTTGGTGTCATCAGATGGGTCCAACAGGATCGAGTTTAGCATTTGGTCAAAGTAACCACGCTGGTAGGCCACATCCACAGGCACGCGGTGGCTGTGCACAGGGTCGATGATGCCACCTGTGGCGATCTGTGCCTCTAGCAGGCGGATGGCATGATCATGCACAATGAGGTTCCTCTGCATGGCCTGGAAAAGAGAGATTCGCTCCCCGGAATAGGGGTCAGTATAGCCGGTGATGGCACGCTCAGCCGACAGCAGCTTCGCATGCACATCAGGACCAATGACCTCAGCCCTCAGAGCTTCCTCCACAGTGTATCTCTTGTTTTCCTTTGGGTCAATGATGAAGCCTGTGGCAGCCTGGGCCTCAAGGAGGATAAGAGCAGTACCTGGCCTGAGAAGCCTCTTGCTCCGGGCCTCATAGATGCTGAGACGCTCCTGAGATCCAGGCAGTAGCAGACCAGCAATGCAGCCTGTGCCTTGCAGGTACCTCTGCACCGAGTCCAGGCTGCCCACATCCTGGGCTGAAGCCTGTCCACGTTCCAGCTTCTCATATAGCTCTTGGTCAATGATCTCAGCTTTTAGCAGCTCTGCTGGTGTCACAGTGTCTCTCAGCCCATCAAAAGTGACTTTGGTAGTAGCTGCAGCCTGCTCAATGGTGGCCTTCAGCTGGGCTTCCAGCTCCTCTATCGAGAGGGCCCCTTCCTGATACTGCTGGGCCAGCAGTGCCCTCTGCTCCACAGGGACTGCCTCAGAGAAGAGCAGCTCCCATAGGGACACGGGTTTGCCCTGGAACTTCCCCACAGAGACAGAGGCTGTGGCTGCACTCAAGGCCTGTCGAATATGGTGCTTAATGAATGTGGGTCCCTGGAGCACTTCTCCACGGGGCTCCCCCACCAGGGGCAGAAAGGCAAGCCCTGTCTTTGGGTCAGTGATACAGCAAGATAACAGGTGCTCATAACTCACACTGCCATGGGTGCTGGGGTCTGAGAAGCCTGCAGCCTGGGAGAGACATTGCTGAGTCTCTTCATCCAGGCAGCCAAAGCGTAAGGCAGCCTTCAGGGGCAGCCGGAACCTGCGGGCTGGGCAGATCAGTCCACCTGTGGCTATCTGGGCATCCAGAAGGCGCAGAGCCAGTATCTGGTCCACCAGCTCCTTCTTCATGGCCTGAAAGAGGGGGATCCTGGAACTACTAAAAGGGTCATAGTATCCAGTCACTGCCTGCTCTGCCACCAGGAGCTGCTTATGGAGCTCTGGGCCAACCAGGCCTACCCTGACTGCCTCATCCACCCACAGCCGCTGGCCTGTGGCTGGATCTACCAGGGTGCGGGTAGCAGCTTGAGCCTCCAGGAGTGGGAGTGCAGTGCCCATCGGAAGCAGGTGCTCAGCAGTGGCCTGGAAGAAGCTTTTCTTGTGGCCTTCAGGCAGTAAGACAATGCCCGCCATGCTGCTGGTGCCCTCCAGGTAGCGTTGCACCTCAGGGCGCATGCTCACATCTGACACAGCCAGCGTGCCCTCCTGTAGGCCCTGGCCTACCTCCTTGTCCAGGACTCCTGCTTCTAGCAGCTCAGCCACACTGGCTGTCCCTCCTAGGGTACGGAAGATGGTCTTGAGGGGTAGCAAAGAGAGCCCTGACCCAGGGGCCTGCACACACCTGGATAACAATGTGCTATATAGCAGCTGCTCCTGGGTGTTGGGGTCGAGGAAACCCAGGGCATCTGTACCAGGCTCCAGCTTGGACAAACTAAGCCATGTTTCCTGGTCCAAGAGGCCCTGCTGGCAGGCAAGCTCAGGGGCCACTCGCACACCTCGGGTGGGGTCCACTAGGCCTCCAGTAGCCAGCTGGGCCTCTAGCCATCTGCACCCAAGAGTTCTTTCCACAACTTTCTTCCCAATGGCCTGGAAGAGGGCCAGCTTCTCGCCCCCATAGGGGTCAGGGTAGCCAGTGACTGCACGCTCAGCAGCCAGCAGCTTCTCCTTCAGCTCTAGCCCCACCAGGCCCTGCTGCAGGGCCTCAGACACAAGGAGCAGTTGGCCCTGGGTGGGGTCCACAAGGCCCCCCGTGGCTGCCTGGGCCTCTAGCAGAGCCAGCCCGAGTACAGCAGGTAGGAGACCCTGCTTTGTAGCAGCATAGATACTCTGGGTCTGCCCTGAGGCTTCCACGTACACTCCAGCAATGCTCTTGGCTTTGGCGCACAGGGGTGTCTCCACTTGGGGCCTGACGGGGGTGCTGGCTCCCAGCCCAGCCTTCATGTTTTTGGTGACTGTTGCCTGCTCAGTACTGCTGGTGACCAGGACATCAAGAAGAGAAGCCTGGCCATTCATTGCACACAGCTGGTTGTGCAGAACTTGCCCAAGTTCCACTTGTTTCCTATAGAAGAAAGAAAGGCTCAGTCAGGGACACTGAACAGGCTGGCAGGGAAGACACAGACATGAGGTCAATTCCAGACACTTCCCAGCTAAAGCTGACAGTGCCATGGTAGTGGAGGACCTACATACAGCTTGCTTCCTGCGATATAAGAAGGGGAAGTGGCTCTCTGGGACAGGGGCTCTCTCTGCCCCACTCCCAGGAGGAGTGACAGACACTACTTAGCAAGCTCAGTAAGATTTAAGGAACAATGTGCTCACCACAGGGAGCCAGGACTGGCCAGCAGACCACCTGTCAGGAATTGAGCGTTTTCACCCATGAATGGTCCTCTGACCTCCACTCTAGGAACTGAAGGTCATGAGGTAGGGAAGTGAGGCCCTTTCTGGTCCCCTCATTGCCCCTGTCCCTGCTGAGAGCTCAGTCTGCCCCATGAGCCCTACGATGGTCCCTCTGCTCCTCTGCCATGGGGGCCCCAGCTTCGGCAGACATGTCTCCTCCTCCCACATCCACCTATCCCTCCCTGGTTATCTGGCTCTATGCCAATGCTGCCAACTCTACCTGTCCCTGGTTATCTTGGTGGTCATCTTGCCACCAACAATGGGCTGTCTAGGCCCATCCCCTTTTGAGCTGGGCTGGACTGGTTGCTCCAAAAAGACATGTCAAAGTCCTAACGTACAGTGCCTGTGAAGAGTGTGACCTTATTTGGAAATAGTATATCTGTGGACTAATGATGAGATCATACTGAAAGCAGCTGGCCCTAGTCCAGTATACCTGGCGCCCTTATAAGACAGACACATAGGTGAAAGACGGCAGGGTGACAGCCTAGAGCCACCAGGAGCTGGGAGGGGCAGGAAGAACCCTCCCCTACAAGCCTGTGGAGAGAATGTGCCCTCCCACACCTGACCATAGATCTCTCGCCTGTGTTGTTTTTGGCCCCAGTCTGGGTCGCTGTACACCCTGCCCCTGCCCTGTGTTCACCTGCCCTAGCAAGCTGGGCCTGCACTCTGTAGCCTCAGATCACGCCCTGGCCCCTCTATTGGTCCATACCCTCAGTACTAGCAGACCCTTCTCTGTGCTCAGAAGCCCAATCAGGACCCCATGGGCCCATTCCCTCCTTGCAAAGTCTGAGGCAGGGTGGCCCCACCCACTCTCACCTCACTGTCCAACTCAACAAATGCACTTTGGACCTGTCTGTTGGGGACATGAGGATTGTCCCTGAGAGATAGGATTCTTGTTTGTCTCCATTTAACAATAAAATCAGAAAGCTCTCCAACCTGCCTTCAGACCCCCAAACTGTATGGGTGATCAGGACATCAAGAGGAGAGGGAGGCTCCATCTGGCAGTCTTGGGTGTCCCACACCCACTCACATGCTGGTCCTGGATGGCACCAGGATTCTCCTCATAGCTGATCTGGGGACACCACTCCACACTGGTACACCCTGCTAACCTGAGTCCCTCTGGAACCTCATTGGTACCCTTCCTGTTCCTGCTGTTTCAGCCTGCATACCACATGGTACAGGAGCCTCTCTGACCATCCTCAGTCATTGCAGGGGGTCTCTGTCCTCCCAACACCATGTATGTGAGGAGCAGGTGAATGAATGGTGGGGGGTGGCTTTGATGGGAAGATAGGCTTATCATTCAGTCCATGACAGATCAAGGCTTGGATGTCATATAGCCTAGTGGGTAGACAGATATTACCAAGCTCAGGGAGGGCTGTGGGTGTACAGCTCCACTGCCAGTCCTTTCATGAACCACATCAGCCCAAGGCACCCCCTTCCTTAGGTGGCCCATCATATGCTTAGTCCCTTTGCATGACTTGGGTGACTCTCATGGCTGTTACAGCTTCTAAACACCCTTGGAGCCACCCCTGAGACTGTATCCCAGCCTCCCATCTGTGCAAAATCATCCCTCTGCTTTTCCTTCCTTTGGGAGCATCCTGCTGCTCAGAATCTTGGACATTGTTGCTAAGACCAGGCAGGCACCTCAACAGGGCCAGCAGAGTTCATCTCCCACTGCCTTCTGACCGAGTGGACAGAGCCTGGGCTCCAGGAAGTGGTATAATCTTTCAGCTTTCTGAGAGGGGCATGGGACACAGTTCAGGGCAGTAGAGAGGGTGCAGAGGACAGGAGACAGTCTGATGGGAGCTGTTTCTAAGCAACCAAGCTTTGAGAACAGATCCCAAGAGGCTTTGAGTGACCAGTTGGACAGCTGCAGGGCTCTGGTCACCATAAGTCCAGGAAAGATGGGCAATTCCAGTTCCAGGAAGGATAGGTAATTATGTCCAGTAAAGGTAGAACATAAAGCATTGGAACTACTGCCAGGGGCAGGGACAGCCAGGTGGGCATGGCTTTGGGTGACCCTTGCCCTGGACATGAGTAGCCAGCTGAACAGGTCATGTGCTGTACAGAAGGACAACACTTGGATGAGAAACTAGAGAGCCAAGGTAAGGTCACTCAGCAGCTCCAGTTCCCTGAACAAAGATTCAGGGAGAAGCCTGCTAATCCACAGAGCTGTAGAAGGGAAGGAGAGGGGGAGAGAGCTCCTCTGTGAGTTATAATGTGTGAGGTTCAACCTGTAACTGAACTCCCTGTTGGTTTATGGGTGACCTTGAGCGTGATAAGTATCTGCCAAACCCTGCCTCTTCCCAGGCCACGATAAGGGCATCTGTGTCCTGGAGGGGGAGTGTGGCAAGGTGGCTAGACAGAAGCACTCTAGGGTATTTGGGGGTGTCTGGAATAGGCTCTGCCAGGAAGCAGGAAGATGGCCTGGGCAAAGGATCAGTGTTCCAGAGAGGGGGCCACTAGCATTAACTGATCTGGATGTGTGACAAAGAGGCTGGTAGCTTTCCAGGGTCAAGGACAGAGGTGATTTCCGTCAAAAGGCATCTGAAGGAAAGTGGGCCCTGTTTCTCTGCAGGGCCCCACTTCAAGCAGCCCCCAGCTACCGAGGTGTGGGAAGGTCATTCCTGAACTGGGTTGATTCACATCCAAGGGCATGGGCCACCTTATGTCACCACACCGGAGGGTGGACATCCATTCTAGCTGAGGACAGGGTGCCCCCAACGTCAGGCCAGAACAGATCCAGAAGGCCAGGCTGACTGAACCCACATCTCTTCCCCACTGTGGGCAGCTAGGAGACTTCATGTATGTTGGCCCAAGCAGACAGAGAGCAACAGCCCTCATAGGAGCTGGCATGATGGGTCGGTGGGGTAGGAAGGCAGAGGCCCTCCTGCCTCTCCTTCCCAAAGGTGCTTGACCCCAGACAGCAGGTAACTCCTCCACAGGGCAGCTCCACCTCCCTACCTCAGAGCTGCTGTTAGAAGCCACTCTCTCAATTTGTTAGTCTAACTACCCTCCCACCATGGGCGCAGCTCCTTTTGCAAAAGGAAGGGGGAGCGGTCGGCTGTTGGAGGATCCCGTCCAATCTGGAGCATACAGTCTGCCTGGAATCACGGGCCAGCGAAACCCCCGCCCCGTGGCATGTTCAGCCCTGGTTCTCAACCTCTTGGACCGCGAACCTAGAGCTCCGAGTGAGCAGGTTCTAGACCTGCCAAGCAGAGACCAGAGCCCGCGCAGCGCACCCCTCCACCACGCGCCCCATCCCCCTACCCCCGGCAGCCTTGGCCTCTGCCTCAGCTCGCGCAGGTGTTTCGGTTTCGCAAATCCGCACCTGCTGCACGACGTAGAGTCGGAAGTCCCTCAGCGCCTCTGCTCCTCCGCCCCGCTCGCCGAGTCCCACGCCCCGCACCTTTAAATCCTTGGGGCCCCTAGCCGTGGCTGCCCCGCCCTCCATCAGGGGGCGGGGACAGGGAGCTGGGCATAGATCAGGTTTGGGTTGGAGGTGCCCGGAACGTTGGGCTGGCTGGGCAACCACCCTTGGGCGAGGAGGGGCTGCGGAGCATGAGGACCCTGCCCGCGCCCTCCCACCTTGAGTCACTGTGGAAGAATGCAGTGCAGGCACGAGGGTGGGGCGTAGAGGACCTGCGCCGCCCGCCCGCCTGTCAGCCTTTGAATGCAGTTTGCAAGGGAAACGTGGACCTCCCGAGCTAGTAGTTTCGGTTCCCCAAACAAGACTTTATTGCCTGAGAGTGGGAGCAAGCTAGGCGCATTGAAGTTTTGTTGTCTCCAGCCGCTTCTCATCCAGTGCCTGTTCTTTGGGTCCTGCTGAGCCTCCTGAGGATGACTCCACGCACCGCTTCCTGTCCAGTGCCTGCTGGGCCCTGGTGTCCTCTGGGATTCTGCTTCTTGGGCCCCTTAGGGGCCTTAACCTTGGAAGAGCTGGAGTTTCTGTGTGCTGGGGAGGTTGGCAGTCCTGTCTGGGAGGGATGGTCAGTCTTCACCCCAAAGGCCAGCTGGTCCACTTGGGCTCAGAGATGGTCCCGTAGCCCATCCCAACACCCACCTTCTGAGGCAGAGGTCTGGTGGAGGCACTGGAGATGGAGGTCCAGAGCCTCAGGGAAATGATATTCCGAGCCCTTGGGCTGTGAAGCCCAGCCCAGCACTGGAATCTCTCTTGGATCTTACAGCTGGTCCTCCCCTTTGCTGCCCAGAGAGATGGAGGGAGGGCAGGGATAGGGTGCAAGCCCTTCATCCCCCTGGGCAGAGCCTGGGGCCTACTTTGCCCCCAACCTTTGCTCTGAGGGCTGGGTACCCCCTACCCCCAGCCCCTCACCTCGGCCTGGGTCATTCTTGACTAGAAATTCATCCAGAGCCACCCAGCCTCCTCCAACACGAACCATCAGGGCACCCCGAGCCACCTGCACCGCCCCAGGAGGGTCAGGTCAGGCCTCCTGTGGGGTATGGAAACAAGTCCCCGGGGCTCTGCCCCAGCACACCTCCACCAGTCCCAAACTCACACCTGTTCACCAGCGTTCCCTGGACCATGGACCCATCTCTGGCAACCTGTGTGCTTGTCCCCTGCTCTGGCCATGCTATGTGATGGTGGCTGCTGGCTGTTCAGGGGTTCTGACTCCAGCATTATGGTGAGTTGGGATGTGGGTGCAAGTCCCCAAGAGGTACCCAGGCAACCCATTCCATCTCTTTCTTGTTCGCCAGATGCCAACACACGGTCCATGAGATCCTGCTGGGAGGAGTGGCACCGTTGTCTGTGGCATAAGGTGCAGAGTGAGCCCTAGACACCCTTCTTCCTTTGGCCACTGCATCTCTGTCAGGCCCCCAAATCCAGGTGGGCGCCAGCCCCTTGCTGCGGGGAGGTGTGAGTTGGCCTAGGCTACTCTGGTGTGCCTAGGGTGGACTGTGTGCTATCTACCCTCACCTGCTCCAGGTGATCCTTGTCTTGCCAACTTTTCTCCCTGGTGTCCAGCTTCCTGTGGCTCCAGCTCCTCATGGCAGCCTCTGCCCATGGCAGCCAGTTCAGTTCTTCTTGGGACACCCTTGGAGTGTCAGCCTGGTCAGGGTTCCTATGAGCCAGCACCTGCACTGGGGCTGCAGTCCAGAGCTTCAGTCTGTCAGCCCTCAGGACTCCAGGCAGCACTTCCAGTCTCCAGCTCTGTGCAGTGGGAGGGGTGTGAAGGAATGGAAAGGGGTGGAAAATACCAGAATGTGAACCAGGTGGATCTACCCTAACTACTTCTTTACACATTGCTGCCTGAACCAGTGCTTCTGCTTGTGCTGCCCAGCACCCCCTGTGGATCACAGGGGCTCCCAGAGGGAGTGGGCTAGGAGACCAGGGGACCTGAGAGCAGTGCATTTTGCTGACCCTGGGCTGTTCCACAAAGTCACTGTGCAGGTAGGAGCTTCTGGCCATAGGCCCCACCTTGGTCCTGAGGGGCTCAGCCTGGCTTGACCCTTGGAGGTATGTGAGCATGATGTGTCCTGTGAGCAGCGGTGTCCCCTCCATGACATTAGGCCTGGAGAGGAGATGTGGCAGATCTGGGCATGGTGGAGGACATGGAGAGTCCATGGGGACCACCCAGTGAAAAACTGACCTCTCCCTTGGAGGGCAGGACACAGTAGGCTGGCTGCCTGGCAGGTTCATCAGTAGTCTCAGGTGGCAGGTGCCCTCGAAGTTGATCTCTCCTCGCCATGCTGGGCCTCTCCACGGCCAAGACACCACTAGGGACTGCTGTCCCCCTGGGAACTCCTGCCAGCAGAGCAGCTTGGTGACCTGCCTGCCTGACATCACACTGGAGCAGGTTGCCAACGTCATTAGTGTCCTTGAAAGAGGGGACATTTGGACACACATGCCAGCAGATGCCTTCTACAAGCCAGGGAAAGGGGAACTCAAACCCTGCTTTCTGGGCCCTAAGAAGCCATCCACTTGTCCTTGGGCACAGGGAGCTGTGTTCCTATGGGTTAGCTGCCTGGTCTCTGGCAACTGGTTATTGCCCCCCGTACCCCCCAACTAATCCAATCCCTAAGGTGAAAAACATCACTGAGTGGAGGGGATCTGATATTCAGGCAGGCTCTATGGAGCTCCACTGCTCTCACCCTACAGCAGTGACTGAGTTTCCCCTCTGGCCTTGAGGTTGCATTAAACACTGAAAAGAAGCCCTACCTGTAGCTAGAAGTTTCTTTCTATTTTGTTCCAAATATGTACGTATTTCCAACTGCTGCACAAATGGGGCTCACTCTTGGTAGTATTGTGCTTTATTTTTTGTACCAGCGATTGAACTCAGGACCTTGTGCTTGCCAGGCAGGCACTTATGCTGCTGAGCTATCTTCCCAACCCCCAGTATTATGATCTTAATTGGCTGGAAAAGTTGGACAGTGTGTTCGTATTCCTCAGCCCTTGCCGTTTCCCATCCCTATCCCTTAGAAACTGTGCAGTGCAGTCCTTGTTTGGCACCTCCAGCCCTGACCCTGCTGGGAGAGCAGAGGGGCCAGGTCTTGGGGAGACCAGAGGCTGTTGGAAGCACAGGTCGACCCATGACATCGCTACCAGATCCCCTATGGTCCCACTTTTCTCTCCTCCGTGCCATACCCTTTGGCTTGGTCCCTCCAAGCAGGCAGCAGCTCAACCTCAGGTCCCCTAGTTCTTCATCCTCTCCATGGTCACCCCTTTCCTCCCAAGGAACTCTGGGGTGACTCCCCCTTGTCCCCAGACTTTCAAAGTACCTGGACTGGGGCCCAGCCACCCTTAGGCTTCAGCCCCTTCTTGATGGCAGCCTGCTCTTCTAGGTCACATGGACTCCACTGGGCTAGCTCCCATATGGCCTTCAGCCCATATGGCTCCTGAATTTCTGACCAGTGGCCTCTCAGGGCTCCCAGCTCTGCCTGCAGCACAGCTGAGGACAGATAGGACCATCTGAGAACCCAGTCTTGGGCACAGTCTCACCCTCACCCACCTGGCCCCTACCTCTGGTATACTTCCCAGGTACCTGGCCACACTCCTGAAGGTGCCAGGGTACTTGGTGGGAGGCACTGCTCCCGGATGGACACCATGTGGGCTGCTGCCTGGCCGGGGACTTCTGCCTGTGATGCCAGCTGCTCAAGCCACTCTGCTAGCTGGGCCAGTTGGATGCTCAGCTGGGGGAAGAGGCCAGCATTGTCCCAGGCACTCCAACTGGGGACAGAGAGCCCTGAGGATACACTCCCAGCCATCCCTGTTCTCCAGCATGGAGGACTCCAAAGTGGGCAGAGAATGCTAGGACCTCTCCTAGGGGTTAGCGGTAGGGGGATACACACCTGCTCCTGGTCCTTGAGCCCTGGACCCTCTGAGGTCGCCCTCTCCAGATCAAGCTGGGCCTTTAGACCTATTGGGGGTAAACCTATCCTCTTGGCACATAGCAGAGTCTGCCAAACCTGGGCAGCACCAGACACAGTCAGCTTCACACACTCCTGGAGTTCCTCCAGCTGCTGCCTCACAAGTTGAGCTTCATCCTCTGCAAGCCATGCCAGGAGAAGAGCCAGAGCCAAGACATGGGCATTGGAGGGGGCTTTGGGGACTAGGGCAGGGACAGAGGCATGGGACGGACTTCAACTGGGGTCAAAAAGCATGGTGCATGCAGGGCTGGATGAGGTTGAAGGCATCGTGGCAGGCTTGGCCAGCCCAGCTGAGTGAGCTGGCTGATGTCCACTCACCCATGAGCAGCTCTGCCAGCCTCTGACCAGTCTCCAGTGCCCTCCCCAGGTCCTCGGCATACGCTGTAGTGCCCTGACACATATGCTGTGGACATATGCCACTGAGCTCTGTGCCAGGCTACCAACCCCCACCCTGGGTATGGGTCATACCTGCAAACACTGCACAACCCTCTCCTGGCCTTTGGGCCCCAGCTGGCCCTGTCCCAGCACAACCAGGAGCCGCTCACCCAGGCCCAGCCGTGCCAGAAGGGTCTCACGGGCTGCATCAAAGCTTTGTGCTGCTGGGACAAGCTGCTGCAGCAACCCCCACCTAGGGACCAAGAAGTTGCCATAGGTATCATGACCCTCCCTGCCCTGGAACCCTCCCTCCCTTACCCCAGGCCTCACCTGGTCTCTGCCCGCTGCACCAAGCGATGCCACTGTGCACGCAGCTCTGCTGGGCTCCCCACCTCCTGCAACCTTGGCTCTACCTGTGGTGCCCGCTCCTGCAGTAGGCACTGGAGCAGCTTTGGGGACATGATGTTGGTGGCTGGACACTGTGTTCTGGAAGCCCTTGCCCCATCCTCCCATCTCTGCCTCCTTCATCCATGGGAACATGAAAGGGTTTCTGCATTCAGCCCACCCCTGGGGTAATCTGATGTGGCCCTACTCCTGATGGGGCAGTATTGTGTGCTGGTGGCTTGACCTGAGGCTCAGAACCAGGTGCTGCCACCTGGCTCTGTTCCCCTGTACCTCCTGCTCACGCAACTGGGCAGCAGCCACCGTGGCATCAGCGGCCAGGGGCCCCTGGGAGGCCTGCAGCTCCTCCATACCATCCAGCCAGCTTTGCAGGGTATTCAGGAGTGCAGGAGGCCTCTGCAAAAGAGGTAGTTTCAACCTGCTGCCTCCCCAACCCGTGCCAACCCCCAGGCTGTCCTGCTTCACCTGGGCTGGCTGCCTTTCTTGCTGGCCAGGCCCCACCTCCACAGCCTCGGTTACCACAGTTTCTGTCACCACTGTCTCTGTAACCTCTGTCACCTGGATAGCATGGCTGCCCCACCAAGCCCAGGACACCACTGGTGGACATAGATCCTGGAGATCTGCACACGGAGAGGGGCTCTCTTGGGCCTTAGGGCCAGTCCTGAAGCGACTTCTCCTCTCCCCTAAGCAGCCCAGTCTTGAGGCCCAGTTTCCCATGATGGATACCAAGAGGGACAGAGTGACCAGGACACTGAAGATAACCCTGTTGGGGCAAGATGATCCAGATCAGGACCTGGAAGCTAAAGGCCTTCTTGTACCCCACACCCTGGGTACCAGTTGTGCGGGACTTACCTTTTGGGGTCTCTGCCTCAGCCTGTGCAGGGTGGAGTAGGGCTGAGAGACTGGAGGGGACCAGCACCTCCTTTGCCCACGTCCCCACGCCTGGCCTTCCCTCGGGCACTGTTCAGCCAGTTCTAGCCATCTGTCTAGCCAGTCTGGCCTCAGCACTTTCCTTTCCTTTTCGTTTCCTGGGAAACCTGTGACTGGCCTCAGCCATGCTGTGGGGGAGGGGCTGGGAAAGGGGCTTCATCTGAGGCTCCTTACCCCTCCCCCCAGTTTCCTGTACAGTGTGGGGTAAAGGGGGATTTAGGGAGTTCACTCCCCACTCAGACCTATCCAGGCCACCATGATGCACTGGGGCTGAGCTCTATCTGAGGAAGAGCTTTCCTCAATAGGCCCCAAACCTAGCTTAGGCATGGTCAGAAAAAGCAGGGAGGGGCTGGGGAGATGGCTCAGTGGAATAAGCACTTCCCTGGCACCTGAGTTCAATCCCCAGTTCCACCAAAAAAAGAAAAGAAAAAGAAAAAGTAGGGACACTGCACACACTGCTAGGGGCAGAGGCTGGGCGCCACAGATAGTTCTCAGCTGTGCAGACCCCAGGAACCTCTGGACTTCATCTGCCTCCTCACTGGTGTGGCCCTGTGATTCCTCTCCACCCTCCTCCAGCTACCCCACCCAGGGCTTCCTGACACAGAGACAGGTCAGCCACATCTTACCCCACTGGGCCCAGAAAGAAATCTGCCCCTTCTTCAGCCCAAAGCCCCCTCCTTGAAGGCATCACCCCATCAGGTGTGGGTGCTCTGAGGTCCTTGCAGTCCGGCAGGTTCATGGAGTGCTCTGCAGGCTCTGAGTGCCAGTGTGGGCCCATCTAATGTCTTCTCCTTCTCCTACCATCCCCAGTGATTCTTTGGACACTGTGACAAGAGCCCTCCTGTGTCTACTATGCAAGCCCTGGCCCAGGAGTCATCCTTGTCTGGTATGTGCACTGACCCCTCAGCTGTTAATGGTGCCCTGAGAGTCCCAGCTCCAAAGCCAGCCCCACCCTCCCCACCCATCTCTCACTTGTGACCCCTCAGGCCTGCCCCTGCCCAGGCTCGTCTGTCATGATTTGGTGTTGCTGTTGCCCTGGGAACTTTCATTGGAAAATGTTGGGCGAGGTGGGCAGGTAAACAGGCCAGGGCAAGCTGCAGACGCACAGTGGGTGGATGGGTGGTGGACGCCTCTCCCAGGAGGGCTAGTCTGTCACGCCCTCGGCCCACCTTGTCCTGCCTGCTTGGCTCCCACCCCTGGGGGTGTCTCAGTATGTGGGTCTCCATCAGCCTCTGTGTGTCACAGCACAAGCCTGCTCACTCCTGACACTCAGCCTTTACCTCATCATGCACACCCAGATGCTAGGATGGCTCTCTAGGGCCAAGGAGCTCCCATGTGCAGTGGCGCCATTCTGACTCTGAGTGTCTGCCCAGGTAGATGCTCAGTGAGAAATACTCCAGACCCTCTTCCCTCAAATCCACAAAGAGGGAGTCAATACCCCCTACCCCTTACTCTGGGCCTGTTTGCCTCACCAATCAAGGTCTGGCCAAATCTGATTTCTCTCTGAGCCTCTAGAAGGCTGTGACTGAGAAGTGGATTTGTGAGGGCCCAGATAAACTGTGGGACCAACTCGGGGCACCTCCACCTTTCCCACAGCCACTGGGCCAGAGACCTCAGTAGCCCCACCCATCCTGGGTGGTAGAAACATCCCAGAAGAACCCTTGGCTGGACAGGAGCAGTCATACCCACTCACAGGAAGTACCAGCCCTGTTGCCCCAAGGGCACTGGTGGCCATGCCTCAGGCTCCCAACAGCTCAGCCAGCCTTGAAGCTTCTTTTCCATGTGGACTCCTGGGCCATCATAAATTAATGAACTAGGACCAGCAGGGAGAAGCACGAGCCCAAGATGTTCCACTCTCCTGCCCACAGCCACGTGGCTCGTGGATTCCCTGAATACCACTAAACTCTCCTGGAAGCTCCTACTCTCCATTTCCCCCTAGCAGGCTGGCACCCTAGGCACTGCCTCCAGAGGCCCCTGACCTAGTACCCTCCACATGCCACTCCCAAGTCTCACACGGCCACAGCCCCTGCCCTACCAGGGCATGTAAATGCATGCTGGTCCTGAGGAAAGGTGTGGACAGATGTAGACGGAAGAGAGCAACACAAGTAGACAGGTCTGCAAATGCAGCCCACACTACTCCTCCCCAGGGGATGTGCCGTGGCATGTCTGACAGTGGCCAGTTTGGCCAGCCATAGCTGGTGTGGATGAGATAGCTTTGGCACACTGTTGTGATCATGAAGCTGGGAATAGCCGCAGGTGTGAGGTGCTGAGGTGGCCAAGGAGGAAAGTTCCCATTACTATCCCTGCCCAGGCCCACTCAGCCAGCCCCGGCGCTTCTGGTGTGTGAGGTTTCTCCCTTAGGGGTACTGAGAACCTGCAAGAAAGGGGAGAGTCCTGGGAGGACTGACTCAGGTAGAGACCTAGGGAGGGATTACAGGGGGTTACATCAAGACAAGGCTGAAATAGGAAGCAAATTATGGTAAGAGTCATAGTTGCTATGCATATGGTGCAAGTATCTTGGTGACAGAATAGCACAGAGCACCCTAATTCTAACTCTAACATTAACTCTAACCCAAAGCCTTACTCTGGCCCTAACACTAGTTATAGACCCGACCTCAATGCTAAAATAAACTTTCGCCCCCAAACATAAACTTAATCCTAGTCCTAGCTCTAAAATTAACCCCAACCGTAATTCAAATCCTAACCCTAAACCTACAACTAGACCTAACCCTACACCCAGCCATAACCCTAACACTACACTGGTCCTAGCCCTAGCCTTAGTCCTAATTGCTATATAAACATATCCCTGGCCCTAAGTGTAACTTTAAATCTAACCCAACCCCTAACCAAAATTTAAATACCAAGGAGGGTGTGGTGGCACCGGTGTGAGAAGGCTGAGGAGGGAGGATACCTGAGAGCTCCAGGCTAGCCTGAACTACATAGTGAGACCCTGCCTCAAAAAAAAAAAAAAAAAATCTAAATCCCAATACTAACCTGAACTGTGGTCCCTAACTCTAAACTCTAACCCTGACCCAAATGCTAACTCTACCTGGAGCACCCTGAGTTCTAAACCTAACCCCTAACCCTAGACTTAGCTCAAACCCCTGCCCTAGCCCAAATCCCAGCCTCAGCCCTAACCCTTCTGGAGCCAGAGTGGTTGAAGCAGCCCCACAGCAGTTCCAAGGCGCTTAGGAAGGGGCAGAACCTGCGCTCTGGTCGTTACCAGAAACCAAACACACACACTTGGGTTAAAACTAAAAGCAGAGAGGCTGCTGTGGGACCCCAGCATGGGCAGCCCCACGTCTAAGGCATGGGTAAAATGGTGATGAAATCCGCCAGCATCCCTCCCCGAAATTCTAAGAAAATCAGATTAACTGTCTAGCTATGACATCTGAGGTTACAGGTGGGATTCAAGTATTCAAGCCCTAATTCCAAGACTCGTAAGTGTGCCCTTATTTGGAAATGGGGTTTTCTGGACACCATCAAGTTGAAACGAGGCCATTAGAACATACATTGATGCAACAGAACTGGCATCCTTGTGAGAATCCCATGCAGCAGCAGACACACCAGGAGAAGCGGTGTGACCCCAAGGCACAGGCCAAGAGCTGCCGCTGTGAACAGAGGTCCACTGAGGTCGGCGCGACCAAGGGCCGGGCTGGAAGGGGCAGGGAGTGTTCAGCCTGGAGCGGAGGGACATGCCCCACTGACAACCTCGGCTCAGCCTTCTGGCACCAGGTCTGAGCGAGAATACATTTCCAATGTCCCAAGTCTCCATTTGTGTTTCTTGCCTGCGACAGCTTGCCTGCATCCTGTGAGTCTGTTAGAGTGGCCCAACCCATAAGACTCATCCGGGGACCCCCTGCCTCTCCCGGCCTGCAGGTAGGGGCTCAGTCCCAGCAAGGGCCAAGTGATGCAGCGTCAAAGATTACCCTCCGGGCAGAGCCTGGGCCCCAGAGCCATGCAGGCCAAGGACGAGAACCTGGAGCTGGAGCAAGGAAGTGTGCTCCTTGCCCCGCCCCCCACTCTCCCTTGCAAGTCTTTCATTTTCCTACAAGTCAGACAAGCTTTGAGGAATCAGCGGGGTGCATCTAATGAGAGGGGTGAGTGGACCTGAGAGGCTGGCTGGGCTGCAGGGGAAGCACCAGGGTGTCCCCGAACCTCAGGGCCCTTGCCATGTGTGCCCACCGTGCCTGTGTAGAAAGGTGCCCCCAGCAAGTGCGTCTGTGATCTCCAGTTCCCAGAGCACCCTGTCCTCAATGGCTGGGGAGTGTGGGACTCTGCCCAGCCTGGGACAGACACTTTATGTCCCCCTTCCTGGCTTCTTTCTTTCCTCTCTTCCCCCTTCCCCACTGTTCTATGTCCTTCTTATCTCACTTCATAATCACATCACTGAAATCCTAGTCTCAGGCTCTGCTTCTGGGGACCTCAACCCAAGGCCAGGTCTTCTGCCCACATCGGACCATCAGGTGGCACCCAGTGTACCAGGCAGCTCTCGGGAAGACACTTTCAGCCTGGTCACACAGAACTTTGGCCAAAGCATGGCATCCAGGTCTAGAAGCCACATCAAAACAACCAGGCATGCAGTAGGTGTATGATCAACACTGTATTAATGAAACCAGTCTAGGCGTGATAGTGCCTGGAAAAATGTCCTGTACCACTTTCAAGAGGGCATCTTAGCCAGGCGTGGTAACACACCCCTGTAAGCCAGTATCTGGGAAGCTGAGGCAGAAGGATCACTGCAAGTTCAAGGCCAGCCTGGGCCACATGGTGAATTCAAAGCCAGTTTGAAGTATTCAGTGGCCCTGTTTCAAGAAAAATCAAAGAAGGATTCCTGAGCAATGGCCCCCTGGGAAGCGCTAATTACCTCTGGGCTCCTTGGCTCTGGCCATGTGTCCCAGGAGCTCTGCCCTGAATAACAAGACCCACTAGCTCCTCAGGTCCTCATTTGGGGCTTTACTTCTATTTGGACCCAAATCCAGGCCAGGGCACTGAT